ATATATTATATTGCAGCTTACTAGTCCTTAGAAGTTGTTGCTGCATTCATTTTTTTCAAGATTTTTTACCATTATTTTCAGCAGGTTATCCTTCCGGTAACACACTTCCAATTCAGGGGTGACACATCTGTATTGTATCTATGAAGAAGCAACATTGTCACCATAAGACAGGACTACAATAACCTCCCTATGTCCTTTAGAGGCAGGGGGTTCTGTAGTCCTCAAAGATAGCTAGAAACGTATCAGCCCCCATGTACACTTGAGCATGAGTGTTTCAGGGAGTTTTGAAGTTTTTTTGCCCTTTTAACTCGTCTTAGCTTGAGTTCTTTAGGCATTTTCTTCCATGAGAGTTTTTGTTTTACCCAATAGAAAGCTTGTTACTAGAAAGAAGAGACAGCAGTTAGGTGTGAAATCATGCAAAATGCACATTATGCACCTATTAAATAGTGGACCATCCCTACATAAAAACCTCTGCACTCCACCTATGGAGAGGAGTTAAAACCATACTTACCTTAAACCTGACTTCCACCCATGGTGTCTAGCTGTGCTGTTGCAGTCCTTCCAGCAAGATCACAAGAACAGTGAGGGATTCCTAATTTTGCAAGAATACCTTCCTAAGGGAAATTGGGATCCACATTGTTCCCAGGATGTCACAGGAAAGATTGTGACATTGCCTCTTCTGTGTGGGCGCTGGGGGTATAAGGTAAGTATATATTTTTGTACTTTTTGGCAGCATTTTTACAGAAAGGCAAAACACTATTTACTAAGCGGATCTTGAATTTAGAGAAAGGTTTAACTTGAAAAATATATCTGACTTCTCCAAGTTTAACTGATCTGTTTTGGTGGGACAGATTCTCCAGAACAGGATCAGCCAGTACTAAACTAGGTGCTGTTGCTGGGTGTCCTTTACTGATCCAGAGGTTTTCATCATTCTCATCATCACCTATCATCATAGTTAGGATTTCGGCAATTGCTTGGTGATCCTGGCCTTTGCCATAACATATTTCCTATTTTATAGTTCCTATATTTCAAATGCCTTGCTTCTTATACTACTTGGATTTTTTGCGATATTCAATTACAATAGTCCTTTAACCACTTGCCGACCAGCTGTTTACACCCCCTTCCTGGCCAGGCCATTTTTCAGTATCCAGCGCTGTGGTACTTTGACATTTATTTCACCATGCAACGCTGTACTGAAATGAATATTATACCATTTTTTTGCGGACAGATAGAGCTTTTTTTTGGTGGTATTTAATCACCACTGGGGGTTTTATTTTTTACTATATTAAGGAAAAATTACTGACATTTTTTTACATTATGTTAGGAAACAATTATTATTACCCAATTTTTGGGTAAAATATAAAAGACGGGGTCACGTCGGGTAAATAGACACCAAACATGTCAAGCTTTAAAATTGGGTGCACCCGTGAAATCGCAAAAAACTACCATACCCAAAATTGACAATGGTGACGATTTAAAAGCTTTTACTGCTCATTAGTTTAGTGTTATCAATGATTGATGGCCCTAGAATTATTGCTCTCACTCCGACATTTACGGTGATATGTAACATGTGTGGCGTAATGGGGGAAACCGTCGTTTTCAAACGTATGCGCACCCGACGCATGTTTGTACGCATGTATGTATGGGTCGGGACTTTAAAAGAAAATTGTGGGGGGGTTTTTAATTCTTTTTCATGTGTGACTTTAATTTTTATTTTAAAATTTGAATCTTGTTTTCCAATTTTTTTTTCATTTAACGCTATTCTTATCACATACGCGGCTAAGAAACCCCCGTATGTGATAACAAAGAGATGTGACAGGTCCTCTTTATGGGGGCATCAAGGGTCTCCAAGACCCCTAATTCACCTAGGGACCCCCAAAGAAGCTGATGAAGCAGAGACCTGCTTCATCAGCTTCTCTCCAGCTGGAGAGTGACACAAGAATGCGGAAGTGATTTAACATACATCACTTCCGCATTCTGACAACGGAGAGGGGATGGAGGGAGATTGTGTATCGATCTCCCTCTGATCCCCTGTCAGAGAATCACCATGCTGGTCCCAGGCTTGCACCAGGTACAGCGGAACTCGGGACCAGCGGTGGGGGGGTTGTGGACGGGGGGTGCACACCGATCGGCACCTTATGTAAACAGGCATCGCTGCCTGTTTTTAAATTTGGGCAGTTTCCCGCTCGCGCGCGTGCTGCGTGTGTAGGTGGGGCCAACAGAACGTCTTTTGACGGCCTGTTACATCCAGGTTAATGTACTGTATTTTATTTTTAGAGCACTGTAATGCTTGCACACAAGACAAATATCCGTACAATGGAATAACCGCTGACCTAACAAAAAGATAAAGTAGAAATGAATTGTCATTATATCAGATAAAGGATTCTATCTTTTATGAAACAAATGACAGACACTTCTATAACAAACCACTTATTTTGTGAAAATGGCAGCTATTCCAGGCTGTGGCTAGTATCTGGTTTGATTAACAAGTGGTATGAGATTGTAGGAAATTCTTTCTAAAAACATTGTAATATTTTTTTAGTGTGCAAATGCCTTTGAAATGTTCTTGTTATGGGTAGCATGACCTGGAAGAGCCTGTCCTGAGGGAGGTAGGAAAGTAACCCCTTACAATTGGCACTGGAAGACTCATGCTGTTTATTAGCCATGCACTACTGAGGTAGATTTTTATAGTTACCTTCACTCAAATTTATGTACTTGATATTTATACTGGTTGTCAAAGAACAGGACAATAATTCTAAACATGCACAGAATAAGGCTTATTTAGGATATTTCTCTTTTCTCTGTAGAACAAAAATTACCCTTAACTACATATTCTCCAAATGACAGCATCACCATGCAGAAAAGTTGCCCTGGGTTAATTAATGCTGACTAAGCACAACTCTTACATCTGATTTTTTTGTATCTGTGGGCAGCCTTAAGGTGCCCATACACCTTACAATTATCTGCAGATTTTCTGTGGTCAGATGGAAAAAGTGCAACAGATTGGCCCAGGTGGAGATTACTCCATCCACACAGTTAAGTGTAGATGGAGGAATCTGTTGCAACTTTTCCATCTGACCATAGAAAATCTGCAGATAATTGTAAGGTGTATGGCCAGCTTTACAATATTGGCTATATAAATCGAGTTGTGATTCAGCAGGGCATAATGTCGCTATTAATTGTCAAAAGTAGTTACAGTTTTGCAAACATTTTCATGCTCTAATGACATCCCAGAGATCTGATATCTAGCAGGTTAAAAGACGTCCGAAACAGTAAACAGATTAAGGATTTGCAAAATGGGAATTTCATGGATTAAATGTTTTTATCTTCATGCCATTCACCCTCTAATATGTTAATTCACAGACCTCTCTGTTCTATGACTGTGAAGGTGAGAAGCAAGTCTTAAATTAGCTCAAAATGCGTTACATGCTTTGCCATTTCATAATGAGTGTGACAAATGACCTCCTAATGAAGAGGCGATAAGCTATCATAAGTGTGTAATTCGGTTGGTCATTAAGATACTATTGCTTTCCGTGTTTTTTTTCTTCATTTTTCTTGCAATAAGAAGTCAGCGTTACATTTGCCAGATGTTATTCATACACATTCCTTAGATGCTTGTGAATTTAAGGATATATATGTGCTTGCCCCTGCTTTCTGAGAGTCTGCCAATCATTTATGAACTAGACTCAAGCCCTAGGGAGCATAGTCCATAAATGCTTGAATCGCAAGATACAGAATATCTAGGTTGTGCTGCCCATTATCACAGTGGCTTTGTGGGTTTGCCTTGCAGCAATAGGGTTCTTGGTATGAATCTCAGCCAGGACACTATCTGCATGGAGTTTGCATGTCCTCTTTGTGCTTTCTTTCTTCTGGGTACTCGGGTTTCCTCCCATACGCCATAGACACAGATTTTTTGGCCATTGTCTAAATTATCCCTAGGCTGTGTGAATCTAAAAATCCCAACTGCAGCTTCCTATGCCAGACTCTGGGAACACAGTATTGAGCAGCTAATGCAGCTTTGGTATGCAGTTCAGGCATGGAGCCACAGAAAAGTAAGGCATTAAGGTTAGAAGTGCACAAAAAATTGCAACATTGTGATGCTAGTAGGGAAGCTGACCATTATTTTGACACGGTCAATTCAAATGCTTTTGTCTGGACTTTAGCTATAGGTATTTTATATGTCAATCTAGAGCCCATGTTAGTACAGAGCTTCAGAAAGGACCCGGGAACAAATAATTTCTGGTTAATAGACAGAGGAACAAATAATACTATCAAGAAGCAGAAAATGGCTTCCCATGCTGGAAAGGGCAATGCGGAATCCCTCCTTCTTTTTCTTGGAAAGTATTAAGTATTTGTTAATAATACTCTTATATGTAGAACTGGCAATACAAAACAGAATAAAATGTTGTGTGGATAGAAATTGTGCTAGAATAGAAATGTTTAAATAAAATAGTAGCCATACATTCAATAAACTGCATGTTTAATGTTACTATACAAAATCGCCATAGCAAACAGCAAATTACTGAAGGTGTGCTACTGTAACTTTTAGCCCAAATGTTTTTACAGATGTCGTTATCGCCTTTCCCATGCCAAATTCGTAATTATTTCACTGTAGCCCACTACAGTCCCACAGTATTTCTCCCAAAAAATTAGTAAATGTTGTAATTGTTTATTTACCTCATTTGATCTCAGTTTAATGGCTTGTGATGTATAATGAGGCGTGCTTAAATCCAATAAGACTGACTGCTGTTTCCCATTTTGCTTTTTGGCTATCCCGCGGGTCCTGATCTGTGCACTTTAATGTCTTATCCTTCTCAAGTTTTGCCAGGAAGTTGAAGATTACCTGTGGATTTCTATGTGTCCACAGGTACACATATGCAGGATGGGACCTGAAAGTGCACATTACAAAACTTTCAAAACGGAGACTTTTACTAATTCATAGCAGTTAAGATGAGTTACTTTTTACAGGCCATACAGTGGTCAGTCATTACTGAGTATGACCAGTGTGATTTCCTGAATTTCTCCCCCTGACCAGTGCCTGTATTACCACTCTTTAACAGTTGGCACACCCCTAGCTTTTGTCAATTGGAATATTACATTTACAGAGCATGCAGTTGCTTAGTGAATGGGCCATGGCCAGTATATTTTCCTAAATCCTTCCCCCAGACCATGTATTGCCGCCATGTAACCAGACATCTTGGCAGGAGTCAATTATTAAACAATAATTGAAGCCAACAAAAGGGAAAAAATATCATGGTTATAACATTTTCAGGGAAAAAATTCCATCAGTACATTAGATATGATTGTCTAGATCTGGCCTGTGTAACAGGCAGCCTAAGGGATTTTCTTTTGTGGCCCATGAGGCAGCCCCTGGCAGCTGTGTCTTTCTATTGTGCATGACCAAGTTGTCAAATTGACAGCTCAGTCCTGCAGATTATACAGTGAAAGCGTGGCTGGTGACAGCTCTACTGTCAGTGACATCCGTTCACACTGCGTCAGAATAAATAGCAGACTGTGATGTATAGGAGCTGTTGGTTTGACAGTTTGGACCTGTTCACCTTTAATTTGTAAATTAAAGCTACTGCTTGTTTTTGTATGTACAGTATTTGGGGTTCTGAATTAAAAATGGGAGGTGCAGACTTTGGTATTCTTGCCTGCCAGAGAACCTTGTCACAACAATGCTGTGAACCTTCGTATAGCCTAGATATCTGGTGTGTATCAAGGGGTTGATTTGAAATGCGATCTCCCCATTCAACTTGTTGATATAAATGTGGTTCTTGGGTCTTTTTAAGCTGGACATCATCGGTCTAGATGGCTAAAGGTTAGCTTTAAATTGCCATTTCATAGTTTAGTGTTGGATATACGAAATAACTAAACAGATTATTATAACTGTTTTTTCATTTTGGAGACAACTCTGGCTGCATGACAAATCAGACGGAACAGAAGATCATTCTTCTTTCTCCAGTTGTACATCCTGCCAGTGTCCTGTATCCTATAACAAAATTATCAGTTTTGGATAAACTGATTATTAAATGTTTTTACAGTTAATTCACTTCTTGAACATAAACTGCTTAATATCTTAAATTGTGGATAATGAGATGCAATATGGTTAAAAAAAATGTCAGTCATAACAAATACCTTGTCTTATTTTCTAGGTGCGTTACACTGGTGCTGCCGATAGTGTTGTACAGTTTATTTTCTACCAGCCCATAATACATCGCTGGAGAGAAACCGATTTTTTTCCTTGCTCAGCTTCATGTGGAGGAGGTAAAAGAGACTTTTAAAACAAATACTTATTGGTTCTTTTATTGGAGACACTTATCTAGTATGTTAGTACCCATAAACATTGCACATGCTCAATATTAACAGTCAAACACACAATGATCAGTTTGTATTAAGGAGCCCAATAGGTCCCATTGAAACATTCCACGCAGCAATACTCAGCGAGAACCTGGATCCATGGATTCATGAATGTATGCGTTATGTACCAAATTCTGGCCCTACCATTTGCAAGCAACATAGGAATCACATTCGTTAGACGATGCAACATATTTTCATATTTCCAGCACTTAGTTGACAGGAGAATGTCCTTCTGAGGTTTTAGCCATTTGTCTCCAAGGTTTGATAAGTTATATATGCTTTTGTATACCATTGTTATACAGATTGGCTATTTGGGCAGTTGTCTACCCTCTGATAGTCTAACCATTGTCCTCAGATCTTTTTCAAAAACCACTGATGTGTTTTTATATACAGTAACTCACTGGGTGCTTGTTTTTGAGACTGTAACATATATAAATCCCCAACACTATGCAGTTTATGAAATGCTGCAACCACCATATCTGGCACCAACAATAATTAAGCTGTCATAGTAGCTTAGGCCATACATATTCCAGATTATAGTGTTGAGTTGAACAACTTGTGAACCACTAGACATTTTCTGTATATTGTATGTATTTGCAGCAACATAGTTGCTGTTTGCTTTAATAATCAAGTATACCTAATAAAGTAGCCATTTAGTGTATGCGTTTTAGCTACTTTACTGTTGATACCCGTATTTATTAGAATTGTGCATTTGTTAAACAATTTGAACTTGCAGTACTGGGAATCTTGGCGACTGTCAGCTGCTTTTATATGAGTTTCATAGTGATGCCACTAATGATCATTTGCAAATGCATAATTTTTTTGTATAACAGGCATTTTCAGAGCTGCTAATGTGTACCTTCTCATGTGCACTAGAGTAGTTTAATCATCTTGCATGTCATGCATGGTATAGATGAATATCTATTACATCTAAACAAGTATCATATAAATGAGTTGTTGCATAACTGCTTGTTATGAAGACTTTACTCTTATAAAGCAGTTCTAAAAAAAAACATGTCAGGTTTAGTGAGCTGATTTTTTTCTTAATATGGGTTTCAGTGCTTACCAGAGATCCTTCTGCCTATGACTGTGTGGTTTTCCTCCCTGTGCTCATATTTCCTCCTGCAGGCCAAAAATGCAATGGTGGGTTGGCTGGCTTGTACCCAAAACTGTACCGTAATCTATGTTTCTGTGTGTCTTTATAGCTGTAGAAGGGACATTTCAATGTTGACTCTTTAACCCCTTCATGACTAAGCTAGTTTTTAGTTTCTGTTCCTAAATGACTGACACACTTTTTACATTTTTGCTGTGTGATTCTTCCACAGCAGCAAGTTTTGATTATTATTATTATTTTTAGAAACGTAGACGATACATTTCACTCAAGAGATACATTTTGTATCTAGTGGTTGAAATGTATCATTTAACATCGTGCCAGGCTCTCCAACTGTCAAAACGAATAGCAGAGAGGTGAGTCACTGCTACCTCTCTGCTATCTTCAGCTGTCAGATACGGGATCGCTATTTAGCGAACCCGTATCTGAATGTAAAGGCTTCATTCTTTCATTCATGAAAGAAAGAAGCTTTTAAAAAAGCTTAACTATCTCATTAATGAATGTCTCAATAGTGAGGCATTAATTAATGACTGGAACTCCTGAGAATCAGCAGTTACCAGCATTACAGAGGCTAATATAACTCGGCACGTACAGTGTACGTGGCCAGTCATATAGCCACTTTGTGACAGGACGTACACTGTACGTCTCCCGTCACAAAGGGGTTAATTACAGAGACTGAAGTAGATGTGTTCCTTCATAGAATAGGCTAGCAATATATAACTACATAAATAAATAAGTGAAACGAAAAAAAAAATCATGGAGCTGAATTAAAGGATTTTGAAGCACATTGATAAAACTGTGAACACTTTAAAGGACACATGAATGGTCTCTTATCTTAGCTATATGCTGACTGATAGAAGATTAGATGTAATTGAGCTGCTGTTAATGACGTGGGAATTTGGCTACTCACACTGGTAGGCAAGGATCATCTGCCAATCTGGATTTTAATTACCAAAGGCAGAAACCCATGGCAACCAATCCATTTTAAAAGTTGCTGCGGAAGGATTAATGAAATTCGAAACTTGATGGCGATCATTTACATGCAGTTGCCCTTTGCCCTATGTGTTTCAATAAAAACATTTATTGGATGCTGATGTAACCAGTTTAAAGGAGACATGTACTGAGACAATTATGTGGGCTGCCATTGCTAATCTCTCCTTTTAAAAACTCTGATCTAGTGGTTTCAATGCTTTTCAATCATTAAATGTATTTTGCTAAATGCAGCTATTGTAAGTACCGGAATATTACCATGAGCCCCTTGTAATCCCTGTATAGCAGCACTTAGACAGGAGAGGGAGAGCAGAACTTGTAGAAAATCAAGTGTGTTGTATACAAATGTGCTGACAAGAAACATGCTAATAGGAGGAGAGAGTTGAGATTACCAGTTTGCTTCTGCTCCATCACTGTCCAGTCAGCAGGCTGGGGGTGGAAAGAGGACATCACTGGCTTCCTTTCACAGTCTATAACTGTAACAGAGAAAGTGTTATTGTCTACCTAGCTGTGCTGCTTGCAAATACAAATCTCGGAACTGGTTGGACAGAGATACAAACCTTTTGGCAGGTAAAACAGACCCTTATAGCTTACCGTCTTTTTATTTAGCTGTTTGCCTGGAGCTCATCCTTAAAGTGACATTAAACCCTCAGATTTTTTAACATAAACCAATACTGTAATGTGTGCCTTACTGTAATCCATGGTTGTTTCCCTTCTCTTTGCTGCTCTTCCTTTTAAATCCTTATCTCTTCTCATGCTGGGGGAGAACTTCCCTTTGCAGCTGACTGCCTCTTCCTGTAGTGCTGGCTCAGGTTGTGAACCTACACTCAGACACCATGTATCCATTCCAGAGACAAGGCAGTCTGCTGCAAAACAGAAGTTCTGCCCAGCATGAGAAGAGATATGGATTTAAAAGGAAGAGCCACAAAGAGAAGGGGAACAACCATGAATTACAGTAAGGCACACATTACAGTATTGTTTTATGTTAAAAAAAATCTGAGGGTTTAATGTCACTTTAAAAATAGTTCTATATAAACAGTTGTACTACATATCAGTCTAGTAAGTAAACAAATAAAGGCACAGGTGCATATAATAATATGATAAGTTGTCTGACCCACATCGCTTCTGTATTGATGAACTGTCTTCCACAATGTAAAATAATTGTTATGACTTCAGAGATTATTTAAATGTACCATATATCCTTCTGAATAAAATACTGTTATTGCAGGTTATCAGTTAACATCGGCTGAATGTTATGATTTGAGGAGTGGCCGGGTGGTGGCAGATCAGTACTGCCATTACTATCCTGAGAATGTCAAACCCAAACCCAGGCTCCAGGAGTGCAACATGGACCCGTGCTTAGCCAGGTTTGTCTGCTCTTATCAATCTCTTTTCAATTAATATAAAGTCAGGTTCTGGCCAAAAACATTTCTTTTTGTTTGGATATACTGTAGTGGGGAAGGTTTTTAAATGCTCAATGTTTAAAATGTGTCTGTACTGTGTGGACTCTGAAAACAATAAAAACCCAATCTCTCTGTTGGGTTTTTATTGTTTCCCATGTCATTTGAACCAGTGAGGACGCGTTTTTCATTAGGAAAGTTCTTGACTAGGTTTTTTCTTCTATGTGTTCAATCTATTTCCAGTGACCCCAGTCTTCTCATTTCTTGTCCCAGTTTCACAGGAGGGTCACTGAGACACACAGTGAGGAAAGAGGGGGATCTTCCCAAAAGAGTCAAAGAACAAAAAAGACCTGATACAAGTTTCCAACTACCTCCCACTGTATTCATAACTAAAAGAAAAAACAATCTGTCAGATTTTAATATTATACCACATTATTTCCTGGAATGAAATGTGGTATAATATTATAGTGTGTATATAGTATGAAAGAAAAGGACTTTGGAGTGCCCCTTTTCCAACCCTTTTAATATTTTTTGTTCAGAATTATAATTTGTTATTATAAAAAGTATTGTTTAAATAACAGCGAGTTCATTTACATTATTATAATGTACGTACCTAATAGGGGTTTATTGATAAATATTGGAGCTTATTTTTGCCTGCAAATTTTCCATTAGGAAAACTTATACAAAAGTGGCCACAGTGTGTAAATACAACACCATAATTAAATATTCACAATAATGTATGAGTTATGTTGATGTACTATTTTAGCTATATAGTTGTGTTCTGTATAGGTCTTGTATCTTCATATAGGGCAGTGATGGCAAACCTTTTTGAGCCCGAGTGCCCAAACTGGATTACTAAACCAACGTATGCGTCTCAAAGTGCCAACCCTGCAATTAGACCTGAATACTGATGATTTCTTTCAGGAAAACCCTTTATACGACTGTCTGAACTAATTATGTGCTTAAATCTTAGAAGAAAAATACAATACAAGAGGTTTTACCTAAACTACAGAGTGACATGTACCTTTGTACTGTGCTAATGAGTGAAGTGTTCCAGTGCAGTGTGCTACTAAGGTACATGTCATGCAGCACAATGCAAGAGAACAGTCTTTCTACACCTTGGAGTCAGTGATGGAGCCCAGGGGGCGAGTACAACTGTGAACGCTGTGACCCTGGTATCTCTGCCACTGACTGCAACTCGTAAAGGAACTAATCTCAGCAATACATTATTCAGCAATGCAGAATACCGTCAACTATAGAAGACTACAAATCCCAACAATACATTACACAGCAATGCAGAATGCCACAAACCATAGAGGGCTACAAATCCCAGCAATACAATATACAGCAATGCAGAATACCACCAACTATAGAAGACTATACATCCCAGTAATACATTATACAGCAATGCAGAATACCACCAACCAGAGGACTATATATCCCAGCAATACATTATACAGCAATGCAGAATAACACCTACTATAGGGGACAACAAATCCCAGCAATACATTTTTCAGCAACGCAGAATAATACCATCAGCTATAGAGGACTGCAAATCCCAACAATACATTTAATAGCAATGCAAAATAATATGAAGCTACATACCCTGTGTTGCTCCGGGGTGGCAGCCTGATGTCTCCAGGATCTCTGGAGGGTGGTGTGGGCTCTCAGGTGAGCTGTGCCGTTCTCAGATGGGCTCTGTGGACTCTCAGGTGGGCTGTATAGTCTCTAAGGTGGGCTGTATGGGCTTTTGGGGGGCTGTTCGGCTCTTAGGGGGGTTGTGCAGCTCTTAGGGGAGCTGTGCGGCTCCCACGGGGCGGGGCTGTGTGGCTATCGGGGGGCGCTGTACAGCTCCCAGGTGATCTGTGCAGATCTCAGGATGGGGGGGGGGCTGTGCAGCTCCCAGGGGGGTTGTTTGGCTCTCAGGAGGGGAGGGGGGAAGCCTGTATGGCTCTCACATGGGATCCAAACGTCCCAGGTCGCCTCTGCAGTCAGTACGCGATCCGGGCAGGTCACAACTCACAATCAGGCAATGGCAGCGACCTCTAAACAGGCATATTAGACGGCCGATCGCAGGGGCCTCTCGGGGTCCTAGCGAGGAGGAAGCAGCCGTCTAATGTGCCTGTTTAGAGGCCGCCACCGCTGCCTGATTGCGACCAGCCCGAATCGCGTACCGAGGCAATTCGGGATGGTCGGATCTATTTCCATTTGGGGTTCCCGAACCTGGGCTCCCGTGCCAGCAGAGGGGGCCCCGTGTGCCGCAGGTTAGCCACCACTGATCTAGGGCATTGCAAAATTCCAATGACTGGTCTCCAATCTCATTCTTAGTGCCCCGTGTTCAGGCTGCAATTGCTTTTTTTAATGTTGATTTCTACTCCAATCCCCCTCCCCTCCCATATTTGATAATTAGTCTGCAAAATGCAGTAAATCAATGCAAAGAGCAGGGATGATGGCATAATCCAGTAATCCATGGTAGCTAATTAGATTTCAATTTACTGTAGTCAAGTCAGATAGAATGTGATTGGCTGGTATGGTTTACAGCAGGTTACCTCAGTATTGCTGTTTTCACCAACTTACCAAATAAACTAGAAAGCAAAGAATACTGTAAGCCATGGTATTGTCCCTTCAGTGTATTTTTGCCTGTTTGTCACGCTAAAAGATGGAAAACCACTGCTGTATGGCCATTTTGTTCATCTCAAGCTGGCTTGTTTGTCCTTACTCTACACTATACAGCAAAGAATAAGCCATACAGAGATGGATGCTATTTTGCCAGTCAAGGGATTTATTCTTTTCTTCTTTCTAAAGTGCTTGCAATTCTACTTTTATTTTTTTGTCTTTTTGAGCAATTACCTCTTAACTCTTGTTGAAACAAGTTGCATAGACAATCCACCCATCATTGCAAGTTTCCTCACCTCTAGACAAAGCAAGCTGTCTTGATAATAAATGACACTCTCAGGCTGAGTGGGGCTAACCTTTCACTTTTTCACTATAGTGTGCTAGAAGCATTCACACACACACTGGTATTTGTACAAGCCATTACTTCTTAAAAGTTTTCAGAAGCAAACAGAATGAGAACAATCAGCGCTTGTAGCATGCAGCAGCATCTCATTAGATCTGTCTGCCGTTGGCATGTTTTTCTTCTGTTCGGTCAGGGGCCCATATATGTGCAATCATACCTTGATGAGGTTCGTTTTTGCTGTATGTTATATTTTGGATTTTTTTTTTGTGCATACTCTATACATTTTTCCTCCCTGATGATATAGAGATGCCAATAATTATATATTAATGAGAGGCTTTAAAGAATTCTGTTTCTGTCATTATGCTACCTCTATCCTCATCCTCCACCGAAAACCTTGATTAGAGAGATTTATTGGATGGTCAGTAACAAGCTTCTCGTTTATTCATGCAAGCAGAGCAGCTTTGGCTGGGTAATTTGTAGAACATGTATTATGAACATATGTTTGTCTGTTCCTTGAAATTCAATAATGAAGTTTACTTAAAATATGTACAGTGGCTTTACTTCTTTTCCCTAAAATGAACAGCGTTGAATAATATCTGTTGGTAAGTAATCTTTTAAGGGGCGTGCATGTGTATACTTGAATGGTCTTTGCTCTAAATTCTATTAAATGCAGTAAATATACTGGCCCTGATGTAGAAACAGAACACATAATAGTTAAAATTGGTTTGCAATTCCAACATTTTTAATGGCATGATCTAGAGAAGCCACATGCATACATCTCATTCTTGCCATAGTGTTTTCATGGATTAAATCCAAACAATCCCAGCAGGGAGTTGTAGCTACACACTGACTTTATTCATATGGTCCATATAAGTTCACCAAAATCAAGATTCTATAAGAAGAAAAAAGTATTAGAATGTCCTGGGAAGAGTGGATCAGTAATTTTATTTAAGGCCTTTTGCTGCTCAATATGGATGGGTGAATCAGCCTAGGTTCAATTCCAAGGCCAATAGTCTCGTAAAATTTGAAAATTGGCAACTTTAATTTGAACCCCATTGAAGTAAATGATACAGGGGCAAATCTTTAAAATAGATCCTGACCATTTTCAAGGATAATAGACAGGAATTGTCAAACAAAGGGCATGGTGAGCTGTGCAATGCCATGTAGGACATGTACCAATGCAACCTTTTTAAAAAAAATACCTTTCATTGGGGTGAGGGTTTTCTTTATTATGCAATTTCAATGGGGCTAATAGTGATGTAGGTTAAGAAGCTCAGGGCAGTTTTGTGGATGGCTTTGTATGTTGTATTTTATTCATTGAGCGAGTGGAAACCAGTGGAGGGATTGGCAGAGATGGGTGGGGGACACTGAGCAGTCGGTAAGGTGAATGAGTCTAGAAGAAGCATTCATGATAGACTGAAGAGGAAATAGTGTGTGTAAAGGTCAGCCAACAAGGAGGGAGTTGCAATAGTCTAGAGATAACTAGGAAATTAATTGGTAGCTTGGGTTGTCATTGGTTAAGAAAGGGCATATTTTGGAAATTCTACAGAGGTGACAGTGGAAACATTTGGATGGTAATTGGATTTGGGGTGGCAAGGATTGGTACATGATTAAACCTGGCACCTTGGCATGAGGGGGAGGGGCTGATAGTTGTGTTATTGATCTTGATAGAAAAGTAATTGGAGGAGGCATGATGGGAAGGAGGGAGGACATTTTATAAACTCAGTTTTAGAAAGATTTAGGGGGTTATTCACTAAAGAGCCCAAGGATCCAGCCGTAGCTTCGGCTGATCCTTCGGCTCTCTTCAGCCACCAGAGCCCTTCGGTCGAACTGAAGGGCTTCTGTAGGGCTATTCACTATTCAGTATTGAGGCATCTATAAATGAAAGTTTAAGCTTTTTCAGACACCCGATCCCTTTTTAGGAATCGGGTGCCTGACAGTGATAGCCAGTACAGATCTGGAAATCCCGATGTGTGCAGGCTCTTTGCTACAATGTTTCTGCATAGAA